CATTTTTTACAGGTATTTGGAGGGTTTTGGGGGAGAGCTCAAGCAATTCACTGCTTTTACTCCACCATCTTGGCTCTGCCCAAGGAAGTCTGAAGGCTATATAATTTCTTCAGTGTGAAGAAACTTCCTTTACGAATGTGGATCTAATCTAAGTCTTAGTGAGTTTTCTGGTGACAAGATAGAGTTTAAGTGATTTGCCCAGTCTATTATTCTACTGAAATGGAAATGAAAATAAAGATACTGTATACCTATTAGGCATAAAGCAGTCACTATCAATAAGAAGAATTCCAATGTTCATTTTCAAGGCATATACTCACCCTCCATTTCAATCTATAAAATAAAATAATTCTCTACAATGAAATGGGGAACATATGTGGGGACAAATTCTATTCAATTTTTTTTAAATTTCAGTTTCCATATGGAAATATCTCCCTTTGATCGATAAGAATGGGATTAAATGGGAAAATACTTGGACACAATACAGGCCTGTGTTTTGGTTCAGTGCAGAGATGAAATAATGAGGGTTGTGATGATATTGAATAGGAAAGAGTAAATTCTGTGGGGTTTTTCTGTGGCATTGAATAAAACAGATAATAGGTTTGTCTTTTTGTAGAATAGAGCATCATAGTTTTCGGTTTTTGAGAGGAAATAGATGAAAACACTTTATAACATTTGACATATATTTGCACACAGAAAATAAAAGTATTTGTCCACTTAAAAAAAAAGTCATGGGACTAATGTGGCAGAAACAAGACTTTAATACAAGTCTTCCTGGCTTCAAGGCTCAAACCATTACTCCATGCTACCTTTTTCTAAAAACTATCTTAAAACTAAAAAGTTATATGAAGGAATTGTAGAAGGGTGCTGTTGGATGAGTGCTACTCGGTATGGAAGCATGACATGGCAGTAACCTTTGGTTCGCATAGGCTGTACCAGCAGACTATAGACTTTGACACGCCCTACCAAATTAGAAAGTGTTTGAGTATTAATCATGTGGTAAATTGTCATTGTATTGATCATAGTTTTTATAGGTTTGAAAGCTGTTTGTTTGCACAGTGTTAATGTTACTGTACAGTGTTATCCTAGCTTTTCTCATTTCACTCTTCATCTGTTTTTAAGAACTTTCAAGATTCTTCATTTTTTTCCTTTACATTTATGTTATTGTAGAAATTATTCTTCTGGTTTTGCTTACTTTACCTAGTATCACTTCATATATGTTTTTCCATTTCTTTTTTGAAATAATCTATTCCCTTATTTTGTATAGCACAATGCTATTCCATCACATTCATATGCCACAACTTATTTAGCCATTCTTAAACTGATGAACATCCCCTTAGATTCCAGGTTTTTGCAATCAGAAAAAGAGCTGATATAATATTTTGTGTGTATAGGACCTTTATTTCTCTTTTTTGATATCTTTGGCATATAAGTATATTTAGGTCAAAGGGAATTCACTGTTTAGTAATTTTGTGTGTATAATTCCAAATTGCATTCCAGAATGAGCTGTACCCATTCATAGGCCCACCAGTAACAGGCAGCAGTGCATCAATATGCCTGTTTTCCCATGGCTCTTCCAACATTTATTAGTGTCTATTTCTTGTTATTTTTGTCACTGTGATGGTTGTGAGATCTCATACTGCTGAAATCATAGATCCTTGTAGTACTGAATTGTTGTTTCACATATTAGCAAAATTCATATGTCATGTTGGCCAGGGTATGGACCATCCTCAAGCATGAACTTTACCATTAAAATAAGAACGCTTTTAAGGGAAAATTATATTCAGTGATGTGATATGGATTGCTGGCAGTTACAGAAAACGTAGGTATTTCAACAACAAATTCAATATTTAGTAGTAATCCTTACTATGTACTGAGAAATAATTACATCCCAATTCTAACTCTTTTGGAGGCATACAATACTGGGACCACAGAACATCAACAATAAGTCAATAATACTTGAATGCTGCTCTCTACTTCACTTCTATTTATTCACTAGGGTAGTGTCTTGCCTAGTTGCCAAACCTGGAAATCCTATTACACCACAGGGTCCTTTACGAACTCTCTCTCGCCTGAGTAGTTTTGTGCTTTGTGACTGAGTTCCAAGCAGTTTCTGCCCTGGGGGTCTGTCTGTACATAGGAAGCTGAACTCCAAGTTTAGGAAGATGTAGTACAAACTCTTTGGGTGAGAGATTCCTGAGGATAATTTCACAACACTGGTTTCTTTATAACCTTGGGTATGTGGAGGAAGAAGAGTTGATAAGCTATAAAATGAAATCCTCAACTTTAAGAGACTTTGCAACAGGGATGAAGGTCCTCACAGGGAGTATGCACACAGCTGCTTCAAGATGAGGGAGGAATTTGCTTCTAGTCCTACACCAATTCTTCCTGCATGAATGTAGGCTAGGGGCCATGGGGAAGCTACTGCATCTACATTTTACACTCCTGAGGAAATCTATATATTTTAAATGATGTCTGTGGTAATAAATGCACAATTTTAGGCCACATTTAGATTTTATACAAGCAAGATTTTAGGGGAAATTTCAGCAAAAATTTGGATCAATGTTTAATTTTCTTTCTAGAAACAAATCGGAAATGCAATTTGAAGATAATGGTATTTGTTGCTCCTTTATAATTATCAAAAATATTATCTTTAATAAGATAAGCATGTGTTCTTAATGTAGATTAATTTTCAACCAAGATCATGTTTTTTAGAAGAATTTTATTTATTTATTTATTTTGCTGAGGTCATGAGGAGGAGGTTCAGGAGAAAGGAGAGAAGAGGTATGATATCCCCCAGGGCATGCTGTTTGACTCATATGCTTTTTTTTTTTTTTTGAAATTGGCATAAAACCTTATGAGTAGGCACATTGCCATTATAACAGATGGTGATACAAGAGAACTAGAACAAGCATCAAGTTTGACTGTTATAGACCATATTCCTATGCAGTAATGTAGATGTGGTCTGTAGCACTCTCATGTGGAGTACTAAAGTAGGAGTAATTTTGCTATTCTCAGGGTTAGAAAAAAAAGTGAGAATTGTGAATTAGTTGTAGTAGGCTATTAAAATAATTTTAAGATGGATAATGTAGAGATAAATTTTAAATTTTTACATAATGTTGATAATTTCATATACAATGTTTTTAAAATCAAATGCACAGATCTGAATTCAGAAGACTGGATGAATTCAGGGACCCTCCAAATTGTTTATGGGGATAAAAAATGGTAGCAAATTAGTTCAGCAATATAGGTGAGAAACATTCTATTTTAAACTTTTTCTATAAAAATCTTATTCCAAATTTCTACATGCTCTCTAATTATAGCCCTAATTATTGTTAGTCTTCAAATCCACAAAATATTTTCAACATTTGTAAAATAAAGTCAGTGAGAAAAACAATTTTGTAATACCTACTATGTTCTGGTGCCGAGGCTATATACACATACGTATATATACACATATGTATATGTGTGTATGTATATACATATGCATACATACCTATATATGTGTACATATATGTATATGTGTATATAAATTGATATATAGATAGTTGTATAATTCTCTTCCATTCTCAAAGAGGACCAAAATGATATCACTATGTTGAAGTCATGATATAGTATATCCTACTGTGGCTGATCAGACCAATAGGAGCTTGCAAAGGCTCTACCACATAGGTCAGGCAAGAAATGGTCCAATTGAACATTTAGAGTGGAGATGTCTCTCAATTTGCACATCTCACCTTTCTTTTGAGCTGCTGCAATTCTGCTTTGTTCCTAGAGCACAGCACCTTCTTTGATGCAGATATGCCACTCTGGGTGGTCCTGTGCTAGTGTCTCCCATGTCTCACAATTGATTCCCAAAATCTTCAGAGAGACCTTGAGAGTATGCTTGTAATGCTTCTTCTGACCTCCATGTGAGAATTTGCCTTGTGTGAGTTCTTTTAGGCAAAAGTATTTTTGGCATTAGAACAAGATGACCAGCACATTGGAGTTACAGTCTGCAGTACAGTTTGAATGCTTGGCAATTCAGCTCGAGTAAGAACCTCAGGCCCTGGTACCTTATCTTGCCAGGTGATCTTGATTCTGTGATTCTGAAACTCACCTGGCAAGAAGAAAATACACACACACACACACACACACACACACACACACACACACACACACACACAAAGTGAGGCCATATAAATATATAACTTGTCTTTTCAAAGACCTTACTGTCTAATAAGGCAAAGAAAATAAGTATGCAAATAAGTGTGTAGAATCACATAAGTTATCGAAGATATGTTACAAAAGTAAGCTGAGAACCATGAGGGGAAAAGACTTTCTGGCACTTGAAGATTAAGGACAGTTTTATAGAATAGGTGAACTTTGAGTTGGGCCTTTAAGAATGAATATAATTTTTCAAAGCGGTTCTGAGGAGATAGAGCATTCTATGTATAGCAAAGTTATGGACAAAAAGCAAGAAGGGAAGCAAGAAAACTCATGGCCAGTTAAGTGGGTTGTAGACAATGTCCATTTCTGGAATATAGGAAAGGTAAGGGAGAATATAAGATTGGAGAAGGACAGAGCAAGAATGTGGAAGAATAATAAAACAATAGACCTAGAAGGGATTTGAGAGGCTATGTAGTCAAAATCCTCCCTTTCATAGATTTAGAAACTGAAGCTCAGAGATTTAAATGATGTAGTGTTAAAGGAAGAATTTCCACCCCTTAGTTTTAGGAATACAGAGGCTGTATATGCTCTTTGATGGGCTAAAACATTTTGACTTTTTTTCTGTAGGCAATTGAGAGACCAAAAAGTTTTCTGAACAACATATTGACATAATCACTGCTATATTTTTAGGAAGATTTACCTAATGCTGATGGTGGAAAATATTATCACAGCCAAGGCAAGATGTTTCAGAGCCTGAAAAGGAGTAGTTTGAGTAAAAGTGGAAAATGTGTAAGGAATATTTTATGATAAAATCAATGGGAGTTGATGACTGACTCCATATGTTCTTGATGTAGGTGAGGAGTCACTCACGATTTTTGTGGATAAGCGGAAGTTGAGCAAGAGATCCGAAGGAAGTGATTCTACAACCAATAGTTCCTCAGTCACTCTTGAGACTCTTCATCAACTTGCTGCTTCCTATTTCATTGATAGGGACAGCACACTACGGAGACTTCACCACATTCAAATTGCATCCACTGCCATAAAGGTATGAATTTGTTCTGCAATTAAATAGTTCTATATTTTTCTTCCTTTGGAAAATTGAAATATGCGTTAGCTACCATTAAAATTAACTGAATATTATTTTGTTTCCCATTTCTTACCATATGAATTTGTAATTGTGAGGTAGTTTTGACCCTAATTTTACCTGGAAGTTGACTCCTGCACCTCAAGCATTTTAATTAGGCAGTATAAAATTAGAACTATCCTAATTAGCTCACAGAAGACTGATTCTTTTCTATTGAATAGGGTCATAAACATAAAGTTGTGTGAATATAGAGTTACCACTAACTTGAGGGAAATGAGTGAATTTCATGTGTTCTTTTTTTTTCAAAATCTTTGCCCTTTTTCATTGGAAGTAATTGAGGAATCTATGAGTTTCTTGGCTAGCCCTGTGGTCTCCAAACTATTTTGATTGTGTACCCCTACCAATAGAAAGTTTGGAGCATATGTGATCTGATATATGAACATTTGTTTGCTTATAAATTGCCTATCTCCTACTGTGCCTATATATACATATATGAATACATATAATTAATATATAAACTCGAAGACATACTAATTGGAAAACATTAAAATTATGATTTAAAAATGAAATGAATAATTAAAATAAAACTATACACATATGTGTGTATGTGTGTATATGTAGAATCACAGATTTAGAATTAGAAGGAATCTCAAAAGCCATCTAGTTGAGCCTCCTCATTTTATAGATGAGAAAACTGAGGCTTAGGAAGATTGTTTATTTTATTAAAATACAAAAAATGATAATTTTACTCTCAATAAATATATAAACAATATTTTCAGTGAGAACAGTATAGGTAAGTATGTTTCATTGATATTTTGGTTTAATACTGTGTCACATAGCAATATATAAATACAGTTCTAAGTTCAGTATATTCTGATACTTGGTTGTAAAGGCTGTCATTACTGAAAAATATAATTCACAAAATTATATACAGTAAATCTAAATGACTAATGTGCATTGTTGTTACCTGCGCAAACTAAATAAGAGTATTCGTTTTACAATCCTGCCCACCAATTTTGCAAAGTTTTCGTTGAAATTTAGCTACTAAGTTTCTATCTTCCCTGATATCAGTTAGTTCTTCTTGCAAAATAATTAGTGTTACATTTTTTGTATGTTTAACAAATTGATTTAAAACCCACTGAAGTTCTTTGCAAGATTGTTAAACATCTAGAAAAATTTTCTTTCCAAGTTTTTAAGGTGTACAAATAGAATTTTTATAAGTGACATTTACTTTTTTTTTTTTTAGCAATAAAAGCTCAGCTTCAAAATATCTTACTTAGGGACAGCTAGTTGGCACAGTGGAGAGAGCACCAACCCTGGAGTCAGGAGGGCCTCAGTTCAAATCCAGCCTCAGACACTTAATGCTCGCTAGCTGTGTGACCCTGGGCAAGTCACTTAACCCTATTGCCTAGCAAAAAACCAAAAACAAATAAAATATCTTTCTATTTGTGGTGGGTTCATGCTATCATTAATATCTCAAAAAACAAAAACATGAGACAAGGCTAATCAATTATGGTAGTAAATAAAATCCATATTCAAAATTCAAAGTAGTCTTGATCATTTTTTAACCAAATTCCTTGTCAGTTTTGATTGAATTGTAATTGATTTTAACTCACAAAGTAACTGAAGTAATACTAGGAATATAAAAAGTCAGCTCTGCTGTTTTGTTTTTATTTGCTTGTGCTGAAAGTATTAGTGTTATCTTCAATTCTTGATTTCTTTGCAGGACTCTATTTAAACTACTTTGTCCATTACATGAAGCTTTATTTGAATTTATGTAATATAATCTGTAAATCTACAGAGATGGGTCCATGTGAAGTACTTTCTGTCACCATATGCTGAAAATGAATAGACAAGTGAGGATATCATGGACAACCACTTTCTGCTGTAAAACTTCCTTTTTTCCCTCAAGATATTTTTTTGCATAATATTTGGTATGTGACCTTGTGACTTATGAACTGAATGAGGGTGCCTGTATCCTTAATGCTGATGTTAAATATTAGCAAAGCTCAATTTCTTTCTTCATATTCACATAAAATAAATAGAAGTGCTGATATTTGCTTCCCATATCCCAGCACATTTGAGACCGATGGACTAGAGATCTCTTGGGTCCCTTTGAATTTTGTGTTCTCATAATGTTTTAGCACCAACATGCTAGTAAAAATTGAGAATGTTGCAGTAAACTTTTCACAGTCTTCTATGCTTTCCTCATGAGGAAAAATGGTAAAATATGAGCTAGGACTTGATGTAATGATAGGACTTCATATAATGTGGCTAATAGGTCAATGTCAGGTTATAAGGAAGTCTGAATAAAAGAGATCAAAACATTTTTTTCATTTTAATTGTGCTATTTAGCATTTTTGTGTGTGTGCAATTTGGATAAAGGCATAGATGCCATGCCTGACAATTGTGCAAATAACACAAGGTTAAAAAAAGGAAAGCTAATTATACTTTGTATTATGGTTAGCATCAGAAATTATCTCAATAGGCTTGAATATTAAGCTGAATTAACTGAAATGATATTTAATCAGTATAAATATAATTTATATCTTATACTTCAAGAAAATGACTTCACAATTATAAGATGGTGAGGCATAAGTAGAGAACATAAGTAGATAAGTAGATAGCAAAAGCATAAGTAGAGAGCAGTTCATCTGAAAAAGATCTGCAGGTTTTAGTAGAATAAAATTTCAAAAATGAGTGGACATTGTGAATGAAAAAAAATAATGCCTTTTTGGAGGTTTCCAATAAGAAAGACATAGTTTAAAAGGATGGAAATGAGAATCTTAGGCTCATAAGACCATTGATGTTCTTGTCTGAGCACTAATTTTATTTCTTTATTTCTTTATTTATTTTTAGGCAATTGGGATAAAGTGACTTGCCTAGAGTCACACAGGTAGTAAGTGTCAAGTGTTTGGTCTGAGGTCAGATTTGAACTCAGTTCCTCCTGACTATAGGGCCAGCGTTCTATCCACTGTGCTACCTACCTGCCCCATGACCCCTAATTTTACAAATAAGGAAACTAAGGCACTTTTAAGTGACTTGTCCAATGTTCCTTGGGCAGTAAGCTGTACAGGCAGAATTTGAACCTTGAACCAAGGGCTTCTGATTCCAGAGCCAGTATAAGAACACATTTGCAATAAAGTGTTCCTTTCTGATCAGTGAATTTTAGAAATCATATTCATAATCTTGGAGCAATTCAAGGAAAGGTAGCCAGAATTGAAAAGAGCTTCTAGATCATAGCATGGTCTTGGGTTGAAGGAACTGGAGATGTTTAGTCTAGAGAAAAGGAAGACTTGGGGAGTCCTTCTTTTCAGATCTATCCTGTGGTAGGGATTAGGAATTAAAGGCCCCACCCACTTGCCAGAACTAGTAACAATTAGCAGGAATTATAGAGAGGCTGATTTATGAAGGATATAATTAAAAACTCCCCAAGAATTTCAACTAACCCAAAGTGAAATGGGCTGCTTTTGGAGGTAGTGAATTGTCTCAGTTAGAAGGCTTCAGTCATACGCTTGGTGAGCTTTGGTCAGGATATTAAAAGGGAATTGCTTGTTATCATCTGAAATCCCTCCCAATGCTTAGATTATGTTATTCTACTATTACAAATGATTCAATCACATGAATAACAAACATTTATTAAGTACCTGCTCTGTGCCTGACACTAAGATAGGTGTTGGGGATAAAAAGATAAAAGCAAATAGGGTTTGGACTCTAAGACCTAATATTCTGTGTGGGGAGACTTTCTCTAGGTATAGATATTGATATGTAGATCTATCTATATAGATAGATATATAGATAGATTTATATAGAGAGATCTATATATACATTCACATATGTGCATATATACAGTGTATACTGTATGTGTGTGTGCGTGTGTGTGTGTGTGTGTGTATATATATATTATATATATATATACACATATGTATATATATACATATGTATATATATATATATATACACATATATATATATATATATATATATACACACACACACTTGCACACCTAGAAAAATCTACCCACTAATATATATCTACATAAATAAAGTTTATTTAGAAGAGAAGGGAAGTGATGTAGTCTGATTTATGCATAGGAAAATCAATTTGGCATCAGTGGGAAGGGTAACTTGGGGATGCAAGATACTTTTGATGAGCAAACAAATTAGGAGGCTATTGCAGTAGTCTAGATAAGAAATGATAAGGGCCTGAACCAGAACATTGATGGAGAGAATGGGGATAGTTATTAGGGATGTTGTGCAGATTGAAACAAGGTTTGGAGTGAATATGTAAAGTAAATGAGAGTGAGGTGTTAAGGATGACATTAAATTCACCATCCTGGATGACTAGATCCATTTCGGTGTCTTCAACAAAAATAAGAAGTAGGAAGATAATAAGAGTAAGGGGAGGGAGTAGAGTCCAGATTGCTTCACAGTTATGATTAATGTATATGTAATCCATTCTAATATTGAATAGTATGGAAAAAGAATGATATTTTGAAACCTTAAAGAGTAAAATCTCACTTGAATTTGTGTAGAAATTCTAGTTTATTTTCAAAATATTCACATATAAAATAATTCTAGAGATGTTTTCTTTGAGATTACGTATTTTAACATTTGGTTTTAAAACTTTGGGTTCCAAATTTTCTCCTTTTCTTTCTCCCCACCTACCCTCATTGAGAAGGCAAGCAACTCGATACAGGTTATACTTGTGTAGCCATGCAAAACACTTCCATAGGACTCATGCTGTGGAAAACTAACTATATTTCCCTTCAACCTATCTCGCCCCCTGTTTATTCTATTCTCTCTTTTGACCCTTCTCAGAAGTGTTTGCTTCTGATTAGCCCTTCCCCCCAAACTGCCCTCCCATCTATCATCCTTTGCTCTCTAACCTCCTTCCCCTCTATTTTCCTGTAGGGTAAGATAGCTTTCTATAGCTGATTGAGTGTATATGTTATTCCCTC